GCATCCCTTCACACATGTTCACACACTCACACACACATACACTCACACAATCCCTTCACCCACTCCCTCAGTATTGGGCACTTCCCTTTCTTTTGTGGCCTGGAATGTTAAATTCACCCCATCCCTTGCTGCCCCGTGGGTTAGACACTTCACTTCTCTGACCTTCCAGCTAATCGTCCTCAGGAAAGGCTACTCCAGGCATGCATCACAGACAGTGTTAGTTGTAGTGAGGGGTCAGTGAGGCCATGAGCGTGGACAGCTTGGCACAGAAGCCTGGTGAAGAGGAAATGCCAGGGAGCCCTCAGCTGATAAAGGAGCCATCAGTTTCGGCTATCGTTACTTCTTATTCTCCTCCTTCTCTCCCTCTTCTTTCTCGTCCTCAGAAATTCATCCCATGTTCTTCTACTAGTTTCATAGTAGATGTAAGCCCAGTGGGAATGAGGAAAACATCATTCTTGCTATCTATTACCACCGGCATTATCGGCAGTGTCTTCGTCAGCACCATCACTATGACCACCACGACCACCATCATCATTATCTTTATCATCACCGTCATCACTGTCACCATCAGCACCACTGTCACCATCATCACCATCGTCACTATCCCCAGCATCTCCATCACCACCATCATCATCATCATCCCTATCACCAGCATCTCCATCACCACCATCACCCTCTCCCTCACCACCACCATCACCAGGATCATCACAGCCACTGCCATGTTTTTCCAAGGCAGTTTGGAGACCTTTCTTTCCCTGCTGGCCCTTTCCTTTTCTAGAACTTCAGGTGTCTAGGGCCAGGAGCGCTGTGCAGGGGCAGGAACATTCCAGCTATTTATTCCCACGTCAGCTGAGCTCCTCAGAGGACACATTCCACCTGTGTTTGTGTGTGCATGTGTGCATGCATGTGTGTGTGTATGCATGTGTGCATGTGTACATGTGTGCATGTGTTTGTGTATGCAAGTGTGTGTGCATGTGTACAAGTGTGCATGTGTGTGTTTGTGTATATATGCGTGTGTATGTATGCATGTGTATATGTGTGCATGTGTGCATTTGTGTGTTTGTATGTGCAAGTGTGTGTGCATGCATGCATGTGTGCACATGTGTATGTGTGTGCATGTATGCATGCATGTGTTTGTGTGTGCATGTATGCATGTGCATGCATGTATATGTGTGTGTGCATGTGTGTGTTTGTGTGTGTGAGTGTAAACATGCATGTGTTAGTGTGTGCATGCGTGTGCATTCATGCGTGTGTATATGTATGTCTGTAGACATCTACACACTCCAAATAGGGGACCACCAGTAAGAATGATCCCATCTGTGTCTGAAACTACTCACAGAAATACAAATGAGTCTAGTCATTGACTACCTATTATGATGCTCTACAAAGCCAAAGCCTGCCACACACATGAGGACCTGAGTACAGGTCCCCAGCACCCACATAACAGCCTAGCATGCTGGCGCATACCTGTAACCTGGTGCTGGCAGCCAAGACAGGCAGACCTTAGAGACTTGTAGGACAGCCAATTTTTTTTCAGTTATTGTTTCCCTTGAGATGAACATCTAGAAGTCCAGCTGTGAGTCATACCTTCCTCCAACTCTCTCTGATGCCCACCTCTTTTCCTGGAATAAGAAAGAGGCAGATCGAGGAGGCAGAACACAGGGGTTGGGGACAGTCCTGAAGTCAAGGTAGCAGCTCCTGCTGTATTCTAACTTCTGACACAGAGACTGTTCTTGGCAGGTAATGCCCCATCCTTACTCCCACTCCACTCCATCCGTAACCCCCGTGGTATTAAGGGTAGAGAAACTCCTAGGAAATAATTTTTCAAGTCCTGCCTGATCAAAGATCCACGTAAAGGCTTTTCCCTCTTTTTTTTGTGACCTCTAAAGAAAAAAAAAAAAAACCCAGCCCCCACCAGAGCTGCAAATGAACTGGCGATACATTTGCAGACTGTCAGCTAAACTAGGGCCATCCCCATCACATCCCTCGGTGGGACAGAACCAGAAGGAAGCAATTCTGTGCCCACTGAGCGTCCAAGCTGGGGGTATGTTAGTGATTAAGGGGATCTTGGCCTGGGGGAGGCAGAGAGATATGGCTCAGATTCACGAAAGCACCATAAATCTCCCGTTTTATTCAAAATGTGTGTTTTATAGTCATTTCCTGGCCAATGGCTGCCTTGGATAAATACATGACATATCTGGATTTAGCTTTTGGGCTCCAAGCCGGGGCTGGAGTGGAGGGCCAGGCATTCTGAGCATTTCCAAGAGCAGCGAAGGAGCGGATAACGAGGCCCTTTGTCTTCTGGAGTCACCCATGTCCTACATCAAAAGCAGACACAGAAGTCAGCGCTAATCAGACCGAGAGAGACAGAAGTCCACCTGCTCTTCCCTCAGGAATCCACTCCTCTCTGCCACCCTCGCCACCACCACCCAGCACCCATTTGTGAGGGGTGACGCTCAGAGTTTCAGCCTCTGTGCTCCACAGGCTGCATTTCCATAGATCTGCCAACTCCAACATTTGGCCCAAAGACCTTGGCTTGGAGGATCAAAGTTTGGCAAAAATAGCTTTTTAAAAGGAGGTGTGTGTGTGTGTGTGTGTGTGTGTGTGTGTGTTCACTGGGAATTAAACCCAGGGGTTTGTACATGCCAGGCAAGTGCTCTACCATTTTGTAACACCTCCAACCCTCTTTTTTTTATTTTGAGAAGGAGTCTTTCTATGCAGTCAAGGCTAATCTCAAACTTGTGATTTTCCTGCCTCAGCCTCCTGAGTAGCTGGAGTTATAAGAGCTTGCCAATATACCTGGTTTATACAACAGGGCTGGGATTCAAACTCAGGGCTTCATGCATGTTAGGCAGGTTGTGGCCAATTAAGTCATGTTCCTAGCCCTGATTTCTTCATCTTTGATGTGGAGAACTTCCAGTTTGATGAGCTATACACCCAAGTCCTGCCCGTGAAGAGATCTCAGTCCAGTGTGGCATCGGGTGCCATGTGCTTAGATGCCCACCTCCTGCTTCAGGAATCTGAGGATGCTCACAAAAACACATGCAACCATGCCAGGTATGCTGGCACAATCCTTTAATCCTAGCATGGGGTGGGGGTGGGGCTTGAGGTCAAGGTCAGCCAGAGTCACAAGGAGGGTACCCTATACAGAAAGACAACAGTGTGAAGCATAGGAATGCCAGTAGGAATTAGCATCTGTCAATGAATCTGGTTTGTTGTCTGGTGACTAGGCATTTGCCCAGAAGGCTCCAACCCTCTGCCAATCTTTCACACTTTCCCAGAGTTTCCCTATGTGGGGTTACATTGTTGCATTTGCCCAGAAGGCTCCAACCCTCTGCCAATCTTTCACACTTTCCCAGAGTTTCCCTATGTGGGGTTACATTGTTGCCTTGACTGTGGTGTTGTGTGTAGACTTACTTCCGAAGTGTAGCTGAGGGTCCATCCTGCTCCAGCACCAGGGGCTCAGCGGAAAGCAGCTCCCACAGATGTCACAGCCAAGAGATTCATTAGCTAGGTTCTGAGGGTGCGACCCACACCCTCAACTACTCTCTTAAAATGGAGGCTTCTTTTTATTATTCTCTATAGGATAGACATGTATTTGATATATTTAAGCCATGATCTCTTTTATTCGAGATTTATTTTTATTTATATAAGGTATAGGTATCTCTATTTGGGTATGTGCATCTGAAGATAGTTACCCGCAGAGGTCAGAAGAGAGTACCAGATACCCAGAGCTGGTGATACAGGCACCTGTGAGCTACTATGTGGGTGCTGGGAACTGAACCAGGGTCTTCTGTAAGAGCAGCAAGTGCTTTTGAGTATTGAGGCATCTCTCTAGCATTGCCTCTCCCCCCAGCCTCCGGACAATCCTTGACACCCAGCCCCCATGCTGGGAGGTAGCACATCCCTGCCCTGTGAGGCCCATAGGGGAAAGCGATGAGGCCCCAGCCTAGAGCCAGCATCCTCCACTGGTCTCAGGAGGCATGAGCTTCCATACTGCTGTAAAACTTCTCTCAACATTTCAGCACCAAGTCGAGGGGCCCCTGTTCTGCTCTGTCCTC